GATTCGGTTGTGGTCGTCGACGGTACAGTTGAGGTTGTAGTCGGCACTGTTGTGGTCGTTGTCGGTGCAGTTGTAGTTGTTGTCGGTACGGTTGAGGTTGTTGTTGATTCGGTTGTGGTCGTCGACGGTACAGTTGAGGTTGTAGTCGGCACTGTTGTGGTCGTTGTCGGTGCAGTTGTAGTTGTTGCCGTTTCGGTTGTAGTTGTTGTCGGTACGGTTGAGGTTGTCGTTGATACTGTTGTGGTCGTTGTCGGCGCAGTTGTAGTTGTTGTCGGTACAGTTGAGGTCGTCGTTGGCGCCGTAGTACTGGTCGTTAGTGAAGTGGTCGTTGTCGAAACTGTTGTTGTTTTTGTGTCTTCAACTGCATTGGATGTTGTTGCAGCAGTTGTTGTATTGTCCACTCCAGGTGGAGTCTGAGCCCCAGCACCACTCAAATCGCTTCCCACTGCAATAAACTTTGCTGAGGTGAAACTATCGTTATGTGAGGTCGCACAAATTCTGGTTATTTCTCCTCCGCTGCTCAGCTCGACACATTTGGTTGGATCGCCCTCCTGTGAAATCAGAACGATTTACCAGCTAGAAAATGCATATATCATTGGCAAGTGTAGGCAGAAAAGGCAACACGGAAACAGTTCAAACTTACTCCCTCGTATTTTAGGTAAACTGTTACACTTTGGCCATTTGATGGATTTACAAGGGCCTGACAACCAACAACGTTATCTTTTACGGTAAAGTTCTGCTCTGTCTTCGATGCATCATACGTTTTCGTACATATGTAATCTGTATGTGAATGACATTTCCGAGTTATTGCGTAAAATAAAAGGCATGCTCACCTGCGGTGGCATAAACGCAAAGACCCGAGAGCACGATTATGAAAATATTAGGATGCATTTTGCTTCCATGTCAGGTCTCCCATTCATTGTCGCTTATATAGCGTGTTCTTCGCTGCTCCATCTGTCAATCAAGAGCAATAAAACGGCGGTTTTCCACACCGAAAACCAGTGGATTTCTTTGTATGCTATCAGATGATAAATATTCGTAGGCGTTAAGAAATTGTTTTGTTTGGATGAAAAATTGAAAACAATCAAGTTGTGTGACTTTGCCTTCAGTCACAAGGGACAGATGGAATATAGATGTATGAAAATAGCTCCATTCAAACAACGTCAATTGCGTTATTCATCAAATGTTAAAAAGATTCGCAGTAACAGTGTAATTAATTCAAGGAAAAATGCCATACATCAAGGTGTCTTTATTTCATTGATTACGCAGGTTCACAGAGATTAATCGGCCGACAAATGCGGGCCTTTACATTTTGAGAAAGATGATAACAAAATTTCCTACAACACAGCTTGCCTGCATAGATCCCAATGAAGACTTCACAGCGGGCGATATCCTCAGCAGGCTCTGCGAATATTTAGGAAACGTTTGCCCCACCTTGTATTATTATCAGGAAACGAATCCCAATGGAGATGTGCAGATATGAAACAATACTGATCGGATATGGCTTCTTAATAACAATATACCTGGGCCCAAAAGATTCAGATTATTTTTGATTGGATTTTCTTATTCAGTCTACCTAACTTGAACATGTTAGAGTTAAAGTCTCCCATCGTCTTCATGTTTATCTATATTCAGAAGGATCTGCTTAATCGCAATATCTTCAAGGATAACCGATGTGGACAACCACACATATTGTTGTATGGATTTACTCGCATAATAGCAAAAGTGTTGTGATCATTACCCATTCCTCGAGCTTTCTGTCGCGCAATTGTAAATGCTGAGGAAAACCAATCACTCCATTTTGTGCTCCTGGTATCACTGTCCGGCATATTCCGTATCTACTTTACAAATCGTTTAGGGTTAAGGCAAAGCAATCAATGCTAAAAACAACCTTCACGTATTTAGTCCGTTCCTAGTTTCCCCAAAAATGTAGCCAATCCAAAAGTGGAATGCAACAAACATCTCAATGCGAACATTTAAACAAAAAGCAATGCCGATAACAGACTGATGACAGAAGGTGAGCTGGCACACGACTAGTAAAGACATGTCAATATTATGTATTAGACATAGTTTTATACTGCGTTATATAGCCTATATAATGAGAATGTTGTTATTGCTCCTCTTCTCTTTCAACTTGGGAGAATACACGTAATCCTAACACTGAAACATAGCTCATGCAATTTGAAAAAGTATTTTTGGTCCAAAGATTTCTAAACCTTACAAACATACCGACATCTTATTAATGAGCTAGTAGTTATCTGCACTGAAACTGAATAAACCTAGTCAACAAACCTCTTGCAGGAAATTACGAATGAAAATGTTTTATTTGAAATTGTTCAAGTGGATTTTGGCAGATTGAAGTTTTTTATGTCGAGATTGTGAAACGTTCAGTAGCCTCGGTAGGATTCAAAACCACGCATGGACGTCGCCTATGATTTTTATACAACGCAGACTTTACCACCTGAGCTACGAGACCACGTAGCACAGCTGCTAGAGCGTGCGTTATTTGAAATTAACTTCCCATTGGTTTCGACATATCTCACGAAAATGTACCTCCGAAGGTGGTTCGATCACAAAATCATCCGTTATACAAAATATTAACGGAATTTCAAACTACCATTCTGGCATGTTACAATATGTTTCCCAAGTTAGATAAAAGTGACATGAACTACTTAGCATAATTATCTTGTAGGAAGAATCGAGATGAATGAAAATGAACTAATATCATCCCCGATATCGCCGAGGGGAACCCGCAAAGTTCAAAATGACTAACCATCAAGTAAACCAGATATAATACTTTCAACTCAACGCAACATGTGATCCCTTAAGCACAAACTGTACAACCCTAAAGCCATCATTTCTGAGAGATCAGTATAGGACCTACAATCAGCTTGAACCTCTCTACAAAATCCGCTGTGAAGGTAATCAATCACTCTGGTAAAGATGTTGCGCACTCATCAAAAACAAAGCGAACTACCGGAGCAATCAAAGTGGGATGGTGACTGACACACTGGAGCACTCGGTAAAGCATTTTATCACACCTGAGCGATTTTGAATGATCGCACAAATTATGTTTCCATGATCCTCACAGTGGGTTCCCTTTATTACTGTGTGTCATTTTCATCGATGAAGAGTAAATTGCTGACAAGCTTCATTGATCCAAGACCTACTCAGTGTGAATATAGTTTATATTCTATTACCAAATTACTCACGGTAATTGACGACAGAACACCAAGCCGAATTCATCCACTACACACACAAACTGTAGGTTAGTTTGATGGTGTTCAGCAGCCATTTGGACTACTTCGATCATGAGCAATGTTACGTAAAAGAACAGGAGAATAATACACGAACGATTTTGGGTGTAGCTTAATTCTGCTTAAAGGTCAGTTTAGCTGAATATTATCTGTGAGAGTAATTATCAAATTGACATATGGGCGTAATCTTCATCCACCGGCTTCTCTCGTCCACTTATAGTCTCCCCTACTAGTACAAGAAACATTATCCCAGTATTTCACAAGCGTGCCAATGCTGCCTTCGTTTTCCCAGAGTGCTTAGATCCTTGCAGAAGACGATCGATTTCGTCAGCGTTTTCGACATTTAGCCTTATAAATATCTCAGTTCGCAATTGGACTTCGTGATGGGTAGTGTACTTCAATCATATGTCCACGATTTTCTTTTCTTCTTCCATCCAAAATTGATACTGTGAATGGTTTTTCACTGGGGATGCACACACAGATATATATTCCTGAGGCTTATCTTTTTGGTTTTGATTGATGGGGCTCCTTTATTCACTCGGTACCACATCTGCTGTTCATTTGGTGTAGAATTTTCTATTTTCTGAAGTAGGTCTTGCATGCTTGAATGCTCGATGCCTGATTTTGCATTACGGATGTTTTAGTTTGCTGGGATCAGAAATTTTTATTGATCACAATTTTTGATCATTAGTAATACGTCTGGCTCCCCACTTCTCATTTTGCATTTGAAAACGTTTTCAACAAGGATGCCATTCTAAACCATTGACTATGTAAGTTTTGAGGAAATATTACCTTGAATTGCAATAACCGAAGGCTTTTTTGCCTCTCAGGTCCGGGAACAATACTTAACAGCCGATACTACATGACTATAAAAGCCTTTCAAACGACGATATCCGACCTGGTTGGGTTTCAACCGTAGTGCGAATCCGTATACTCAAATGGGGATCGAACCCGGGACCTCGCATATAAAATGCACGCATACTACTAAGGAGACTGAACATTTGATCAGAACGTTTTCCTCTGTACTCAAAGAAGGTCAACATATGTTCAAACCGAATCCTTCAATACCTTCATGCAATACGAATTCAGAATTTATTGTAAAATTGTTTCTGAGTATACATCCATGGGAGCTGAGCGAAGTGGAGGGCAAAGTGTGTTTTCTGCCCTTATTGGCTTCCATTTTACAGAATTTCAGAAAAAGAAAAGCGGCTGCCTAATCGCTTCATTATGATACTGAGAGATCACTTAGGGAAGACCACGATAGTGGAATTTGAATATTGGACACTTAGAAGGAATTGGATGGAAATTTTTACATTCAACACACTCAAATCCTGATTTGAACTAACATCGGACTGGAAAAAAGCATGAAGTTAATCGATCGTGTTTTAGTAACGTCTATAATTATGGGTAGTTCGTCATTGATCAGTATTTCCTCTGACCACTGTGGACTATGGCTTTTCAACTTCAAGTGAATCCGTTGTAGCTTCAAGTGAATCCGCCGTAACTTCAAGTGAATTCAGCCAATCGCACCCCATAAGATTATGTGTTTCGGCCGTCAAATGTCACCGATTGGACAGGGTCTAAACCTCGTCCGTCCGAATGAACTAACTTCTCCGCAAACAAACAAAATTACTTTTTCAGTGACTAACCGAGCAAGGATGAGTGCTTCGGGAGAGTGGAGTTGCGCCGTTCTCCCCCGCCCCCCGCCCTCGACACATCCGTTCCACCCGGGAACGTTGTGTTCGTGGTCGTTGATCGAGTATGCGTCATAGAAACGAATGAAAGAACCCGGAGTTAATTGACCTCTGTCGGTCGAGTAAGGAAGCGAATCACGTCAAGATGGATCCATATATCGGTCACTATGCCCAGATGTGAATGTGAGCATGATTCATTGTATGAATGTAGTCAGGCTTACCTCAATAACCCGAAAAGTAAATTCCATTGAGGCCGAGTTTCTCTCGAATAAAACCGATTCCTTTGAACCAAATGCGATTGCTTAATTATTTCTGACATTAGAATGAACACTTGACAAGATACTTAACAATGATAACAATATTGAAAGAAGTAACAGTATTTCACCTAAATAGTAAGATCAAATTCGGACGTATTAACTAGCTAAGAGAAATCATATATTTCTCTGTCATTTCCTGGCTGATTGAT